TCTAAAACGTTTAATAATGAAACCTTTGTGTGACCACCTTGGTCACACCAAGACAATATGGTCTTATAAGATTGTGCTCATATATGCCAAAAGAGAGATTTCTTCAGAACGTCTCATTCTAAAGAACAGCAAAGCTCTTCAAGGCCTTAGGCTGCAGGATAGAGTAAAAGCCTGTATTTCTCTATTGCTTGCCTTTAAATCCATTAGTTCCTCAAACCTCACAGTCATCACAGAGGCTAGCCACACGCACATGGCCATTTACTAAAGGAGACAGAGATTTCAGCATGTCATTTGCTCACTGGCATATGTCTATTGAAGGTCAGGGGCTGAGCTCTAACCCAAGGATCAGCTGCAGACCTATTACTCACACTTACTCTCATATCTCCAACTACGGCACCTCTATTTATCCCATAAGCTCTATAATGCTAATTGACAATAATACCCCAAAATTATATAACCTGATTCACATTATTTTGATGTGCATAGTAGTCGTTAGAAATTACCTTGAAGGTGATGACATTTTTTAAAAGAGCCAGGACTCGTGTATAACCATGTACTCATTAGTTTTAACTGTCAACTTGACGCAGCTGAGAGTCATCTGACAGGAGAACCTCAATTACAGAATTTCCTACATGAGGTTGGCATATCTGTGGGCACAGCTATGGGGAAAGGGCATCATTGTTACTTCATGTAGAAAGCCTCAGCCTACTGTGGGCAATACTGTCCATAGGCTGGTGGTCGGAAATGATATAAGGAAACTTGCTGAGTCTAAGCCTGGTCTGTGAGCAGCATGCAGCATCCTCCATGGTTCCTGCTGTTCTTTGGTAGGTGAGTTTCTTGGTGGGAGGGAAGGCCATGTAGAATAGCAAGCAGGCCTGCCTTCAAGTTCTTACCTTGATTTCCTACCTTGACTTCTCTCAATGATGGATAGTAAACTAGAATTTAAAGCTGAAATAAACCCTTTTCTCTGCTCTTTCACTATTTGTCACGTAAACAGAAATTAAAGTAGAATAAGTCATGATATCAGTTTCTTTTGGGATCATTTGCCAAGGACTGGAGATATGTATATGCCTTCCCCTAATTCACATGTCAAATCCTAGTATCAAATTTGATAGTACTTGTTATGAGAGATGATCCCTCATCAACAGACTCAGAGCTTTTATAGAGCGTTCTGAGAAAACATCCCCATGGTTGCTACCACATAAGGGTGTGGTTAGAAGACGCCAATTTGTAAACTGAGGAGGGGGCCTCACCAGACAGGGATCTTTCTGGACCCTGATCTTGGGCTCCTCAGCCTTAAGAACTGTCAGACTGTGGGCTATAAACATCTGCTGTTTAAAAGCCTCCTGTCTTAGGGAACTGTGTTACAGCCACTGGAATGGATTATGGTATCACTTCAGGATTTGCTGCAAGTTCATTGTATAAAAAGATGTTTTTTGAGAATATGAAGATATTCCCTCCATTGCTTACAGTGTTTCTAAGTAAAGTCCTAGCAAATGACATTAGCATTTATAATCTTTTTAATTCATGTGATCATGAGTTGTGTTTGGAAACTGATTAAGTGAAATCGTTTACAGATATAATCACAGAACAAGATTTGGTTGGAGTCAAGTTCTACCACAGTGAGAGTAACTATAAATTGGCACATATTAATTTTAATTGAATGATTCCATTGTTCTGGGATTGATTTGTTTGGTAATGTCTCCTTTGGGGAATGGAAACATTTTGCTAATAAATGTGGTCATTGTAAAGGGATTTCATATTACTGAGCTAGTTTCAGCAGGCTGACACATCACAGAAACATATACTCATAGTGAAAATCTGAAAAGTCCCCAGAGTAATTTTGCATCTATTCTTCATGAAGTGTAAAATTGCCATAACAGACTTACATTATTTAACACACATGGATAATTTGGATTAGTGCAGCCAAGCTCTAATAGCATATTTGGGAAATAGAACGTCTGAGGAACACAAGCATCTGGAGAGCTGCAGTACCTTCATCGTCGTCTCCTCATTCCCATTGTTCTCTGTCAACTCTAGTCTACTCTCAGCCCCAAATCTAGACTGATCCTGGTAAAACGTGAGTTGGGTTAGTCACTCTCCTAAAGTGGACACCACAGGTAGAATAAAAGACAGATTCTTGCAATGACCAATGAGCTACAACCTGTATTCTGCCCTGGCATGTTGACCCTATTGATCGCCCTCACACTTGCCATATGGCTCTTATAAAGAGCTCATTGCAGCAGCTTTTCCCTCTCCCTGGATTACCTTCCCATGGAAGTCTACATGGTGGCTCTGTCCAGATGCTCTGGCATCACCTTCACAGAGACTTTGCCTGTCCTCCCATCACTGACAGCCTCTTCCCTCGACCCCAGCACAGCCTCCAGCCAAAGGACTCCATGTGTTTTGTTTAAGAACAAATATGTACTATTATTATTGTTTCCTATCTTCTCATTTCCTAACAGGGTTCACCGACTATTGTGCTCTCAATGGAAAATGTTCTCCAACAGGGTTTTGTGTTTAATCACATGTTTCCCAGTTGATGATGCTGACTTAGGAAGCCTTGAGACCTTTTGAGATGGACCCACTGGCTGACACAGCAAAGTGTGAGTGGGGTTTGTTGGATATGGACCAGCTGTACTTCCTCTAGCTCTCAGCTTCCTGGATGCCAACACAACATCACTAGCATCTCACACTCCAGCTACTGCAGCTGGCAGCCATTCCCACTACTGAGTCTTTCCTACCTTGATGGAACCAAACTCTTGCAAACTGGGCCTGGCTGTACATGGATCTGTAATTTCAGCATAGTGGAGCCAAAGACTGGAGGGTTACCGGGGCTTTCTGGATGCCAGCCTAGCGGGCTTACCCTCGACATACAGACCACATGAAAGAACACTACTTCTATTGTATTAGTATTGAATAAATTATATATGGTAGGGCTAGAAGTTTATAAAGTTAATGAAGCATTTGAAAAGGAGAGGTAGATTTTTAAAGGAACAGACGAGTGGGAAAACTTATTTTATATTATTATGTCTTTCTGGTTTCTTACTTGGAGCCCCTTACACTGTTTGTTTTATTACTTGCGTTTAATTTCAAGCATATGCATATGGGTAGGAAGTGGGGGCTGGGGTAAAGTCTCAGAAATAAGTGTTCTAAGGAATTAGCTCCATCAAAATTCACATGGCATGAAGTCATTAAATCCTTGTTCCCACAGATATATATCACGCAATGGCAATCACTCCTTCATCCTCCTCAGAAATCTCACAAAATTATGATATACTTTCTGCCATAGTTCCTTCCAAGATACCATTTGTAACTGTTGAACTGCAGTCTGCCATGATATATATGCACCCTTCATAGAGTCAAGGGATTTATACTAATCCCTAATATCCTGATATATTATTGTATATATTCTAGAACATCCCTTGGAGAACTTTCAAACCACTATAAACCCTGCATTGCAACATTCAAAAGGATACTTCTGCTTGGTAAAAATATTCCCCAAAATATAGTCAAAAAAAGACAGAGGCCCCAGCAGATCAAACTACATATACTGTGTAACCCAATAACTCAGAATAGCTGGGGTGGGCTCACTGGCTGAGAGACTTGCAACACAAGATAGTAGCACAGTATAGCCAGACATGCATGGCACAGCCTGCCACAGCTTTTACTCACTGAGACCAAGAGTGCACAGAATAGCAAGAAGTGCATATTAGCAGTGCACCATAATTTTGTTTTAATTACAAAACATAGTTCTAAGATAAATAATGTTAAAAAGGAATCAGTGTTATTCAGGAAAGCATGAAATGTGCAACATATTCAGAAGGAGGTGATAATTATTTCATGAATGAATGATCAAACAAATTATTTAAAGATATGGAAAGCTGAATTGTGAAGAAAATTAGCCAAAGTGTGAAAACATGTTTTTGTTCAATAAACACACATTTATGTGTCCAATACTTAAATGTATAAACTGGACACATAAAGATGAGAAGACACTGTTCTTAATCTCAGAGAGCATATAGTCTAGCATGGAAGATGAGTCTGCAAATAAATAAACACATCAGCTGTGTGCTAGAGCTGCTGTGTGCTAGAGCTGCTGGAAAATGCCATGGGGACACAGAGGTAGAAGCCATCAAATACTGCCTGGTAAGTGTCCTGGATAACTGTAATTGTCAATTTGATACAACAATAATTATCTGAGGAAGCCTCAGTTGAGGAGCTGCCCAAATCAAATTGTCTATGGGTATGGGATTGTTTTGATTATTAACTAATGCAGGAGCCCATGCCTACTGTGGACAGTACCATCCCTAGGCAGGCAGTCCTAGGTTGTACAAAAAGGATAGCCAAGCATCAGTCAGTGGTAGAGACAGCAGCGTTCTTCCATGATTCTTGCCTTCAGGTCCCTACATTGAGTTCCCTATTGTGACTTCCCTCGATGCACTGTGACCTGGAAGTGTAAGATAAAAAAAGCCTTTCCTCCCTAGGTTGTTTTTCGCTTGAGTGTTTTTTATCACACTGACAGAAAGGAAACTTGGAGAGTGCATTAGAAGTGCTTTTACTCTTGGTCACCAAGACAGAATTTAAGATCCAGGTGGTGCTACACCTAAGAATCAAAAGCAGGAAAGTCATGAGTCCTTGTTTCAAAAAGAAAAAGGAAATTGAATTTTAGAATCAAGAGCAGGTCATGGGCAAACCTGAACGTCTTCATGAAGGAGTGACAGCAAGGGCCAAGGGGAGAAGGGAAGTCGCTCTGCTGAGTACCCGCACACCGCTGAGTACCACAGGTACAGGTCAATAAAAGGCCGTGGGTGCCCAGGAGCCTCATCTTCAGTGAACCAGCAGGTGGTAGAGATACTTGAGTAAAGTTGGTTTCTAGTCAACCTTGGCAGAAGGTAAAATGCCACTGTCCTTTTTATTCTTTATGATCAAGAGCATTTACACAAGCAGATGTTCTGCACAGTGAAGAAATAAAGCCAGGAACAGGTTAATGGGTGATTTAATACCTGTCCATCATATCACTGGACACAACACAGGAGACAAGAACAGCAAACAGGGCCATGAATTGATTCTACTACACAGTTGGCCATTGGTGATCAATTATTTTTAAATCTGTAAAATGAATACTTGTTCTCAAAGTAGAAATTGTCCAAGTTTTCAAGAAGCTGGCAAAGTAAAAAAAAAAAAAAAAGTAAGTAAGTAAAATACATTTTCCAAATAGAAATTGCTCATCTACTAGAGTGTATATAAACATGTTATAATACATTCAACATATTACAAATATCACCCCCCCAAAAAAAAAGTAATAGAGGATGATGAGCCCTAGAGAGGTAGACATAATACAAAGACTTTCCCAAACCAAAACAAATCGAAACAAAAAAACATGATTCTCTTTTGTTGTCTTCAAAGATGGACCACAACACCCTCATTAAAAATCCCAGTAACCATCAAGAAATGCCCAGCATGGTCTACAGAACGAGATTGGCTGGAGCTCAGACTGTTGGGACAGCCAGAAAGCCACAGTGTTGTGGCTCCTGTAGTTCACTAGAAAATGTAAGCTGAAGCCCCAGGAGAAGCAGAGGTCCACAGGATACTTGTTACTCTGAGCTATGATGTCATAAGAGTAAGATGATTTGGACTCTGTTTTGGAGGTTGTAATTCATGATCCACTGGCTCCATGCTTTGGGTCATTGAGGCAAAAGCACATGGTAGAACAAGCCATTCACAACTGAAGATAAAGAGCACAAAGACAAGAACAGAATCCCACAATGCCCTTTGAAGTCACCCCCCAGGGATATAAGGCCTCTCCCTATGCCCTACCTCTTAAGAAGTTACACTACTTTACACCAACTCCAAATTGGGACTAAGTCTTTAACATACAGGCCAATAGGGGACATTCCATACCAAATGGCAGCATGATCTTCTGTGCAAATGCCATAAGCCTATTCTACCCACCCTTCTCTCTGTTTCTTTCTCATCAAAATATGATACCAAATAGATTTGATTTTGCAACAAGTATACCTCACAATTCTGCTTTCTCTGTCCAAATCCAATCAAATGCAAAATAGGCAGCTTTGCTTTTGTTTTGTTCCCCTTTTGAAATTGATCTTCTATTTTCCCCTACATTTTTATGCAGCTTTAGCACTAAGGTCTCTTCTTGCGATAGGCACTTGAAGTGTGGCTTCATATCAAAATAGAAAAGGAACTCATAATTAGTGATTTACATTTGTTGACTAATTATATTTTAACTGAAAAGCATTCATACTAAATTGTTACAACTGAATATTTTTATGATCTTTTCTTTTCCTCTATAATTACAGAATAAAAGGCTTTTTCTACTCAATAAAGGGATTTCAGGCATCTGCCTATTCAATTGACACTAGCAAAAATGCTGGACTTAGAAACTGTAAAAAGACTCAAGACAGCAAATCAATCATGAAGGCAGTTATCGGGGCACTCAGTGCCCCTGTGCCAAGCTTCAGGCTTCTAGGGGTACAGATGTGGGTCAGGTCTCTCCTGCCTCATAAGGACAACCAGTCAGCAGGGCAAGGTCTGATCTTGGGAAGGTGGGAGCCACCAGGTTCCTGAAGTGTGGAGCTACTCAGTGAAGGCCAGCGTTGCAGCTGAGAAGGCAGAACCTAGCACCGTGGCCCTGTGGCTGCCTGGTGGAGCTTATGCAGCTTATTTTCTTGTGTGCCTGCATCTCTGCTTGCCTCCCCTCCCCCAGCCACTCCTTCTCCTGCTCAATATTTGCAGCATTTGAGTCATAGCTGGATGACTAAATCATCCAGCACCATGCATCTCTTATGACACTTGCCTGGCATAGGCAGAGGAGAGATTTGCATTGTGGAGCCAGCACTTGAGCAGAGAGGAGCTTATCCTGCCTCTCTGCTCACAGACTCAAACTCCATTTCCAAGCTATGTATTAGAGTTCCTCAATGATGAAGCTCAGAACTCACCGGAAAAGACAGAAGACACACAATTACAACTACAATTACACACACACACACACACACACACACACACACACACACACACACACACACACCACTCCTAAGGAGGGAGTGTAGAGTCAATCATGATTTGCAGATCTCCTATGCATAAAATAACCTACCCAATAAAATTACTTGCAATACCAAATAAACACTCAGAGCACTTCTGTGGTCATTCATGCCATATTCTCAATGTGGCAGAAAATAAAAATAAATGTAAGTTGTCTGATGCATATCTTCCCAACAGAGATCCAACATCACTATTCACAGCTTGTTTCAGCTGATTCTGTAAGCAAGCGTCCTCTTCAGTCTATTCAGTGCAATGCTTTTTTGCAGTCCTGTGCTTTCTGTTAGTGATTTCACCATTAGAAATGGTCTGAAGAGTCATACTTAAGTGTTGTCTGGTCTTATCTAGCTCAGGAAGGCTGAGATGAGCCTTAAGGAGAAGCTCTGTGCATTACATGACTTCATTCAAGCCTGTGTGCTAACAAAATTGCAATGTTGCTTAATCATAACACCTTAAGTAAGATGCTCTACAAAGACTCACACAGAAAGCAAAGGCTTGTATTCATCAGCTGATGGATATGTTATGATAGAAAGAACTAACCCAGTATGTTTCTTAGAATCACTAATTCAGAGTTCCAGGCTACTTCATAGGGTATAACAGTGATGAATAATAAGAATAGACCTTCTGTGTGAAATCAATTGTATATATAAATGTAAGCATAATATGTAATGTATTTAGGTCATTATAGACTATTTTATATATATTATATACAATATTATATTATATAATAATTATATTGTATATTATATAATTAAATGTTATATTGTATAATTACATATTTTTGTACATAATATACTTATAAAATAATTATATATCATATAATATTGCATTTTATACATTTTCGTATGTCAGGCTCTATACAGATGCCTGTAAACCAGATGTGGCTCTACTCCATGGAAGTCAGTAGCTAGTAAATGAGAACAAGATTAAATAGCAAACCTATTTAAAGAATTATATGAAAGTCTATGATTACTATAGTTAGTTCTATCAGTAGTACAACCAAGTGTTTTTATTTCCACTTATTCATCATTTTCCCAGCTGGCAAGGAAAAACAGTGTTGCATTAGAAGGTAAGCTCAAGAAGGCGGATACCTTTGCCAACTTTGCCCTGAGCTTCTGGGACCTGACATAAGTACCTTGCACCTAGTAGCCACTCAGTAATTGAGTGAGGGTATGAATATCCTATCTGACACTAATAGCTCTTACCTGTGTGAAGAGGGAGCAGAAGCAAACTGCACAACCAATTCACACAGCATGTTCATGTCTCTGATAATAATTCTTCCAATGCCTGCCTCATGGCTAAGAATTGCTGAATGTGAGCTGGCAGAAGGAAAAAAGAGAAGCCCATTCCTCCCCAATAATAATCAAGCAGGCAAGCCCTCAGAGGGCCAATGGAAGAGAGAGAGAGAGAGAGAGAGAGAGAGAGAGAGAGAGAGAGAGAGAGAGAGAGAGAGAGAGAGATCAAAAACTCTACTCCGGTAGTTTATAGCTCTAGAGAAGGATTCTTCTCTGAAACTATCTAATACCTTTATGTTTTCCAATCAATCCTTTTATTGAGTTGAGTTGTTCAATAAATTTGGCATGTAGAACCAGCAACAAAAAATTCTTTAAGTACTTCAGAGATGGTCAATAGCAGCAGATGCTATTAAATGAAAAAAAAATCACCAATAATATTGATGCTGCTTGTTTCTAGCATTGTTTCAATGGACAACAAAATTTCTACTATTCCAGCTCTTTATATTAGTCTACCTGGGATATCAGCCAATCCAGCTCTGCATGTGATTAAAACACTTAACAGATTTTTTTTTTCAATTGAATGTGACTATGCTTTAACACATGCATCCCAAGATATTGGCAACACCAACTGGATGAGAAGAGGCAGTCTGGGCAGGTGCCATGTTGCCACTAACTAAAGAAAGCTAAGGACTGATCTGCAAATCTCCTAAATAAAAAAAGCAATCTACTTTCTGGCAAGGAGATCAGCAATGGCCATTTCATATAAATGAATCTGTCATGATTTCACTTGAGCACAAGCTTGATCATCCAAAATAGCAGAAACAGCAGGCTGCACTGTGGCTTATCTTTATCTGTTTTTGATAGACTGTTTCTCCATTTCCCGCCCTAAATGATGAGTGCCATCCATGAAAAACTGTGCTGTGAAATTGCAAGAAAATTATTCTCAATTTTAATAGTCAACTAACTTAGCAAAGAGAAATTGTCCCCTTTATTTTGCTAGTGCTTTACAGATTCCCAACACAAGATCAAGTACAAATATGATCCTCCCTGTATGTGTCTTCATCAAAATAAGATAAGTGGAGGGTGGCAGGCTATAAAGCACATTCTTTGTTTATTGGTATGCCCACCTGTTCCAGATCATTTGCAGGGCTGCCAATAACAGAAGGAAGTCGCATAAATGAAACACATCTTTTCCAGGAGGAGTCTCCTCTTGTAAGATTCACAGAGAAAATCAACCATTACTTGCTAAAGCCAACCATAGGTTGCCCATGCCAACACACACATCAAGGCCGCTACACAAGCTGCTCTTATCTCCCTCCGCTCTGGCTATTCCATTCACATGATACCTCAGCTGCTTCATTAGGCAGGGCCAGCAAAGAGAGCCTTCTGAAACTGTGTGCCCTTTACTCCAAATAAAAGCAGAGCACTTTATTCTTTTTCTTTCCTTCAAAAGGCAATGAAAATTGCTGTGGCTTAGCAAGAGGATAATGGAAGTGCATCACTGGGCTCTGAGAGGCTTAAGAGTTGTATTATCTTGTGTCCCTTTCATCAACAGGCTTGGGGCTCTGGGGCTCCTCACAGATCCCTAAGACTGTTCTCACAAAGTGGTACCTCCCTCCCTGACATCATAATTTCCCACCCCATCTGTACCCAACATCATGTACCAAGACGACTTCCCTGAGGAACTGTAACTTTCTGATTAATGTCATCCTGTGAGGTGATTCAAGACGGTTGCACAGGTCACTCCCTTCCCTAAAGAACCATAATTGTAAAGCAGCAATGTCTAAGTCTGTATTTTCTTAGTTATGTGTAAAATATTCTACTTTGAAAGCTACCTTCTTGAGTAATTGACTGATATAGCTACAAGGGCTTAGGGAAAAAATTTGCATCCTCAAAACATTTTTTCTCTTTCTGTAAAGAGAGTTTAATTTTCCTCAAATTTCACAAGGTTCTAGAAAAGGCATTAAACAAAATATGCCTTATTTGAATATCTCAAAGTCAAATTCTTCACAAAATGAGAACCTGTATTTATTCAGCAAGAAATACCATTAGAAGAGGAAGGTTAAATTTCAAATATGAATGGATCCCCTGTGCACAATTATATGAAGCATATTTAGGGAGAGTGCCAGAAGAATACTAGAACATGAATGAAGAAATTTGAGCTGAAGGTAAACTCAAAAGCTAGCTAAGGTTTGTCTTTGGGCAAATATACCTCTTTGGATATCACATTTTGCATATTTAAATTAAAAGATCAGACTAAGTGATATAAAATGTCTTCAAAATCTAAAATTTCAATATTCTAAATAGCTAAGGAATGGTATGAATAAAAATGATTTAATTGTTTTATTTAACATTTAATAAACCACATGAAAATAATTTTCTCTCTGGGTGACTGGCACAGCAAATATTTTATTTTTTAAAATCCATCTTCTAAATCTTCACATTCATAATAACTTATTTTTTAAATTATGACTAAAACAGACCATTAGTTGAAAACTTAAGAATTATGATAAAGTAGACAGAAGTCACCATGTGGGTGTGAAGACACTGAGAAGTGTGTTCTTGTTTTTTACTTTGCCAGCATCTAAAGGAATCTGGCTACTGTCCAGTTTAATCTATGTAACATTTTTCTGCTTGTGTTTAACATAATTACAAATATGATATGCATTTATAAGTGAAACCCAAGCTCTAATGGTCTATTTTTCAACTTATCAAAAACTAGCTAGAGGAAGAAAGGAATTCCACAATGGATGTCACTCACTAAGTCAAATACTAAACAGCAGTAGAAACCACTGCCAGTGTTCATCGGAAATTTTCCCTCCTCATCATTGCATGGGAAGGTTCTAGACTTATGATGTCTGTAAATATTAAGAAATAAATTTAGACCCAAAACATAAATGATAACAACCATGGCATGTATTCACATCTTACACATTTGCCAAATACACTCTAGTCATAAATGTTACCTTTATACATAAATTCAAGCATTTAACAAAACAGACATGGAGTGAATATCTGTGTTATTCATATTAAAAACAATATTCTAGTAAAAATCACTGCAGCAATATCCTGCATAAACTACCAAGTGTAATATTTTATAAATGTCAATGAACAATTTTAAAATTCTTCATTGATCTGCATAATTCAATGTATTGTTTTTTTTTCTGTCTCTTACACCTGCAATTTTGTTTTTTTCAGAATTACATTAAACATTCAGTACCCAGGGCTCCCAGGGCTGTATATTCAATATTTCAAATACACAGCTGCCTAATTGGACATATGACCCACTCAACAGAAGGGAATGCATCCCTTGTACTCTCAACCCAGCCAACTATCCGTAGCTGATAAGGTAATGGACCCAAGAGAAGAACCTACTACTGCCTCTTACCTAAACTGCTGTAACCTAACTACATTCTAAATATTTATCCTTATACAAGGATCAGTGTAGCACTCACCCCTCATCAAAGAAACTTCTTTTTACAATGGACAGAGGTCATTACAGAAAGCCACAATTGGTAAAATGAAAGCTGCTGACAGTGGAGAACCCAGCCCCAGGGGATACATCAAAAAACAGCTTGACACTCAAGGCTCAGGAATATGGTGGAATGTAGAGTGGAGTTTCTCTGTCCCGCCCGGTCCCACCCGGGCAGCAGCCGTTTTTATAAAATAATCACTCAGAGGCTTACTATTAATAAAAACTGTTTGGTCTATGGCCCAAGCTTTTTGCTACCTAGCTCTTTCCTTTTAAATTAACCCATTTCTATTAATGTATGTTTTGCCATATGGCCATGGCATTACCAATCTTCTGACATGTTGCTCCTTGGGCTGCAGGCTGGCATCTGCCCTGACTCTGCCATCCTTCTCCGTCTCTCTGCTTGGATTTCCTGCCTGGCTATAGCTTGTCTTGCCACAGGTCAGAGCAGCTTCCTTATTAACCAGTGGCAGCAACACATATTCATAGTATACAGAAAGACCATCCCAAAGCACTTCCCCTTTTCTGATTTATCAAAAAGGAAGATTTTAACTTTAACATAGTAAAATTGAATATACCAAAAGAGTTGTCAAGCAAGAATTTCGGTTATAATGTCTAGTCTATTTGTATTTAGCAAAATTAAATAAAATATTCTATCATCTATCCTATATTTGTGAATATAAAGTTTCATATCTAATTTACCAT